AGAAATTTGAATAATTTAAATAATGATTTAAATATTTAGGCAAAAAGTTAGTCGACTTACGGATTACAGAATACGTCTAATGAATGAAATAATAAAAGCCATGAAATTAATCAAAATGTACGCCTGGGAGCAGCCCTTCGCCCGGGCTATCGGTCGCGCCCGAAGGTATCCAAGCATTAGATAACTAAATCAACAATTCATTTACTAATTTTTGTCTTAATTTGTTTAAAACCAAGAGATGAATGTAATTAAGAAGTTGTTACATATAAAAGCAATGATTGGTTGCATTCATGTTTTTGCTCCAAAATTTGTTTATTTGGTTATTATAATAGTTTACATACTATTAGGCGGTCAGGTGTCGGCTGAGCCCATATTTATAAGCATGATCATATTCAATCGTTTGAGCGCAATATATTTTATGTTTATTCCCGGTTCTTTAGGATTATTAGCAGAGGTGCGGGTTTCATGTAAACGGTTTCAGGTATTGGCATTATTTAGTTATAAACTTACCATGATTGAATTATTAAAACCTTAATTATAAGCAATAATGATTAAGACATAATGTATTTAATTCAGAATTTTCTATTACTGGATGAAATCAATACCAAAATAATGAATAAAATTGATGTTTGCAATGAAAATACACAATTAGTCATTCATGAAAATAGTCAAATCAATTATATTCACAATAATATTAATAACAACAATAGCAGTGGAAAAACAAATGATTATAATATAATTGTTAGTGAAATGTCAGCGAATTGGAAATCAGTGAGTGTTTTATCACAATTTACTTTATGTTAATTTTAAAATAATTCAAATAATGTGTTAGAAATCAGAAGAATCGACAATAAAACACATTTCAATGAATGCAAAATCCGGAGATTTAGTTGTGGTTATCGGACCCGTAGGCGCCGGAAAGGTATGCTATTATTTTTGCTGAAATTTTGAAGTTAATGTTGGGTCTTATAACTGTATATAATTCAGACAACTTTATTGATGTCACTCTTGAATGAGTTGTCCATAACTGGAGGTTCGGTCGCAACGAACGGATCCATAGGTTATGTGTCGCAGGAGTCGTGGGTTTTCAACGCAAGTGTTGTACAGAATATTGTGTTCGGAAAACAATACAATGAAAAGCGGTTTCGAGAAGTGATAGCCGTTTGTGCGTTGGATAAGGATTTAGATTCCCTTCCCTTCAGAGACAACACTATTGTCGGCGAAAGAGGAGTCCTTTTGAGTGGCGGACAGAAGGCCAGAGTGGCGTTAGCCCGGTATGGCTCACACCACCCACTCTTACCCACACTTACGCCACAACTCATG